CACCCGGTTCCCGAGGCCAGCAGCTGACTAGCCCATGAACCTGTCTTGGGTCTGATGTGCCGGCTGATGGGATGACGTAGCTGTTCCAGCACACCATGACCTGGCAGCAGAAGTCACACGAATCCCCCTCATTACACTCCCGCCCGACAAGGGACAGCATTGAAGTCAGAGGGTGGCGACTACGTGGGAGATGCCCAGAAGAGGCGCTCACGGAGCTTACGTTCATCACAGCTGCCTCGGCCTGACCCAGCCTGGTGCAGAAACACACCCACCAGCACCGCAGCATTACAGACCCATTCGCAGAACAAACCACAACACAGAGTCCATTTCAGTGACATTTGAACCCATGTTTAATGTCAAGAGTTGGGGGCAGCCCTGCAGCAGGGCAATAATTCATTCTAAAACCTAGCTCTGATACAGCACTTCCCATCCAGAGAGCTCAAAGCGCTCCACAGCATTATCGTCTCCATTTTACAGATGGGCAAACTGAGGCAGGGACTTTCCTGAGGTCACTCATCAAGTCAAGGGATAGAACCCAGGTCTCTCAAGGCCAAGGGTCAAGCCTTCAGCTCACTGGGCCACACTGCCGGACAGCCACATGAGTGCCTATAATATGTACGGGACCAACAAACCGCACACAGGGATCTGCTATTTATTCACAAAACTGGCACAGTCTGGGCAGCGGCAGCACGAGTGTCAACCCTGACCTCAGCTCAGGGGGGAATCTACTCTCCACGGCCCATTGAGTCCTTGGCCTCTCCGCTGAGTCTGCCAGCAAGGCTGCAGCCAATGGGGGTTCTGGAGAAAGAGACACCTCAACCCACCTGACAGGAGACTTTCAGACAATACTAGCCCGAGCCAGATTCAAACCAGTGATGTACAGGGCAATACATACACCCTGGCCACTAGCTTCAGTCCATTCGGTCAGAGGGTTCCACATTGGCTGGTTGACATGTTTGGATTCCTGCAGCAAGTCACTCCGCTCATGCTGCCACTGCTCTGTGCTTCCCCCTGCTGGGTCACACACACTGCTGTACACCCAGGTCAGATGGCAGGTCCAGCTGCTTGGCTGGCAGGCCAGGGCAAGAGCGCTTGGCAGCACAGTTGCCATCTCCTGGCGTGATGTCATGTGTTTCCTTGTCTCTTCTCCTACCCCCATCAGCCAGAGGGGGATCACTTAATTTTCCGAATGTTGCAACAAGAAGCTGCAATGGCTCCTGGCCCTGGCAGGGTCTGGATGGCCTGGGACTGGAGGTGGCCCAAGGAGTCTGCTCGTCAGTGGTAAAGAAGATCATGTGCACTTGAACTCCCTGGGCAAAGCAAGGCA